GGTCGTTCTTCATCGTGGGGGGCCGTCCCGTGCACTGTGGCGCGTGGGGTAGCATCCCCGGCCTCCGCCTCCTTGTTGCCAGTAACACCCCTTCTCCAGTTGGGACAACCATGGAGATCTTCAGGGGTTGCCGTGTGTCGCTTGGGGAACCGAATCACCTGGGCTGGGAACCGCCCCTGTGCACTTGGCCAGCATCCCTCGTTGTCTGAACTTGGACCCAGGGAGATGCGAGAGCCTGTGTGTGTGCAAGGTGGACACCTACTTTCCCTTTGCGTTTACACACAGAAGCGCCCCGTCCTGTTCTGTATCTTGCTTTGCCATTCAGCGATACCTCTCGGACCCCTGACTTGCAGACTTTTATTTTTTTTTTAATGTTTCTTTATCTTCAAGAGGGAGAGAGAGACAGAACGTAAGCAGGGGAGAGGCCGAGAGAGAGAGAGAGAGAGAGAGAGAGAGAATCCAAAGCAGGCCCCAGGCCCCAAGCTGTCAGCACAGAGCCCGACGCGGGGCTCGAACTCACGGACCGCGAGATCATGACCTGAGCCGAAGTCGGCCGCTTAGCCGACTGAGCCACCCAGGCGCCCCTCCTCCGTTCTTTTTAAATGCTGGTCACAACCCCACTAAAATGACCGGGCTGGTCACAACCATTAACCAATAGGCACTGGGTGTGGTTTGAAAACCACCGTCGAGGAGAACAGCCGTGGGGCAGTCATCAGGCATGGGGGCTCTGGAAACCCCACCCTGCCCCTTACAAGGCTGCGACCCCAGCCAGGTGACTGACTTCTCTGTGCCTCAGTTTCCCTCCCTGTAAAACAAGGGTGATGATAAGAGCATCTACGTCACAGGGTTGTGGTGAGGAGTAAGTTCATCCGCGTTAAAATGCTCAAACGGGGTCAGGCGTGTTGAAAATGCCACCAGGTGAAAGAAGCCGGGCAGACGCTCCGTAAAGGGCCAGTAGTAACCATTTGGGGCCTTGCGCTCTCTGTCGCGGCCCCAGAGCGCACGTAAACGAGTGAGCGCGGCCGTGTTGCAATAAAACTTTATTTATGGACACTGAACTTTGAATTTCCTATTATCGTCACCAGTCACAAAATATTCTCCTCTTGATTTCTATGCCACCATCTAAAAATGTAAAAAACACAAAAACACACACACAAAACAAGCCTCTTCTTAGCTTGTGGGCTATACACGGAATGATAGGCCAGGCGGGCCAGGCTGGCCCCGTCGGCCCGTGGGCTGCAGTGCCCCGTAGTTTCGTTATTTATTGACGTGGTTCCCTGTTGGAGAGAATACCGAAGGTGGCTTCCTGGGCAAACAGCGCTTCTATAAATACGCCGGTACCCAGGCTTTGCACGGTGGTGTGAAGATGCTTGCAGGGTACGTTTCTAGAAATGGAACTTCTAGATCAGAGAGTGGATGCGCTTCCCAGGCATTTTATGGAAGGCGTTGAAGCGATTGTGCCTTCGTGGGCTTTTTTGCCCGTGAAGCCTCCTCCGGTGGCTCCTGGCCAGGCCGCGGGATGTTCCGAATTCGGCACGAATGCCTTCCACATCTGGGCAGTGGGACTCTCCTGATGAACGGTCCCGTCATATGGTAGTTTTTTTGAAACATGACCGGAAGACTCCTTTCGTGCCGATTTCGAGAACTTCTAAAACACGGAAAAGAACGAAGAAGGAAAATAAGTCCGTGCAGGGGCCACCGGTAACATTTGGGGGGGGGGGGGTCGTGAAGTTTTCTTTCAGCCTGATCTTCTCCCCCAACCCATTTCAGACATTTTTTTAATTCGGGGGCGACTGGGTGGCTCAGTCGGTTACGCGTCTTGATTCTTGATTCCGGCTCAGGTCACGATCTCACGGTTTTCGTGAGTTCGAGCCCCTCGTTGGGCTCTGCGCTGATGGCGTGGAACGAGCCGGCTTGGGATTCTCTCTCTCCCTCTCTCCCTCTCTCTCTCTGCCCCTCCTCTGCTCGCTGTGCCCCTCTCTCTCTCAAAAAACAAACCAAAAAATAAATAAAACATTTCTAATTTTTAGCGTTAGGCGTTCTGTGCACATGGCTCAATCATCCGAAAGCAGTTCTTAGCGTTTTAAAGCCCCACCCCAGGCCTACCTTCCCAACCCACCGGCCCCTGCAGAAAACCACAATTCCTTATTTGGCCTATAGACTTCCGTGTTCCGCGCGTGTGTGGCCGGGGTTACGTGTGGATTTACGTTTCTTCTCCGTCTCCGACCGCCCAGAAGGTAGCACATTCTAGGCCCATCTTGGCGGCGGGTGGAGAGTTTCCTGGATCCCTTGGTGCAGCTGGGCAGTGTTCCTCCATTTCCCTCCGCAGTTGGACATGAAAATGGGTCCACGGGGCGCTTTTGGTGTGCATTTCTCTGGTTACAAGCGAGGTTGAGCATCTCTCGAAACAGATGAGCCTCTGTGTTTCCTTTTCTGTGTGCTGTCTGATCATGCCCTTTGCCCCTTGTTCTCGCTGGTTGTTAGTGATTTCTGGAGGCTGATGGCATATGCTCTGAATTACAACTGTTTTCCCCCGTGTTATCATTTGGTTTTTT